AAGTAAATGAACCAACATAGTCAAACGGATCCTCACAATTGCAACAAAACTGGAACTATCGAGGAGAAGCAACACCGAAAAGAAGCAAACAACATGGTAAACAACCATCACATAAACATGGCATGATGCACAATCAAGTATGATGCATGTCCATTTTAATAAGGCATGGCATGGCAAAGTGCAACAAACAATACTACAAGTTAAGTGGTTGCATATTGACGAAACACCACGTTCAAGTTATTTAGTTCAATCTCGTTTAGGTACTCAATAATTTTAAATGTTGATTAACATGGCAAGAGATGAAGCATAAGTAAACTACACATTTTGGGTAATTTAAATGAGGCTGGAATAACAAACAACAGTTATGGAAAAACCCCATATGCATATCTTGAATTTAATGCAAACAACAATTTTAAACATTTTAAATATTGTTACCATGATGCGGATGACATGTACAAGTTTTATGCAAATTATGAAAATGTTGACATGAGCATGTTATGCAGCATTTGTTACCATGGCGGAACGAAAAGGGGTTCCACGGCAACGACAATGAAAATGGTGCCACGGCAACCTTCCGACGATCCGGCAACTCGTCGAGATGTCGGTGCAAAGAAAGTGTGGATATATGGAACATGCAAAAGATGGTGGGGTGATCCCGGTTACCGGGTTCCCACGGGTCGACGGCATGGCAAACAAGGAGGAATGTGCAACGTACAATTCGGTCACGAACATCGCATACAACATGCATTCTTTCTCGGAAGGTTATCTCGGCGATTATACCTTTGAAGCGTGCATTTTGAGGCAAAACGAGTTCAATGCGGTGTAGACGGAAGTAGTGGCACACGGCATCGGTAGAGGAAGTAGTGGTTCACGTTTCGCAGTCATACAGACTCCGTAGTTGATCGAGGTCACGGCAAGGAACTTGACATCCACGGGGTCAACGGTAGAGGTACACAAGTTGTCGGGGTACTTGTTGGTCCGGTCTTGGTATAGCTGTACATGGCAAACGTAGTGGTACTAAGCGCCGGTCGTCGAGGGACTTGCCAAAATCCACAGAGCCGGTGTGCTTGTTCGGGCATCGGTCTTGCCGGTGGGGTACTTGGCGAATCCGCGTAGCCGCCCACGGGTCGTTGTACACTTGACGGGTCCGAAAAAGGAACTTGGCGCGTCCAAAATCTTCGGGGATCGTCCTTTAGACTTGGTGGTGTTAGTCTCCTTGGGTCAACGGTGATGTGCAAGGGCCAGAATGACCGACAGCTTGGGTGGCTCCTCAAGGCCATGGAGACGATAGGCAGCAGGAGGCTGCTAGTGCAGGCAGGGCCACGACGAGGACCCGAAGGGGTTTAGAAGAAGGTGCTCGCGAGAGGAGCCTCGCGGTGGTGCAGAGGTCGCCGATGGAGAAGATGGTCAAGGAACGGGCAGAGGAGGATCGGCCTGGGCGTGATGCGGCAGCGGGGAGATTGCCAGAGCCGGCCATCCATGGTGGGCCAAGGTCGCCGAGGTCCCTGTCCAAGGGGAGAGAGAGTGCGCTGAGAGAGAGAGAGAGAGATGGATACAAGAGGATAAGAAGAACGAGGGAAAGAGGCGGGGCATGGTGCTGGTCCCGTGGGCGCCAGCGGCGGTGCCGGTCGTCAGACACGAGGCGAGGAGGCCCGGCCGCGGAGGACGGCGTGGAGGTGTGGTGGCTAGGGCCTGCTCGGGAGGTGGAGGCGATGAGGGATGCATGCGCCATAGGAGGCGAGATCAGGGGCGAAGGGATCGAGCGGGGCTCTCCCTGGCGACGCGAGGCGGAGGAGACGAAGGGGATTGAGAGGAGAGGAAATCGGGAAGGGGACGAGGTCAAGCCGGTGGTGGCGGAGTGGGGAACGAGAGGGAGATGAGTGGGATCGGGCGCTGGGTTCGCTAGGGTTAGATTAGGAGGGGGTTGGCTGGGTCTTGGCCTTGGTGGGTCGGCCTGGCTGCTGGGCTTAGGGAGGCCGCGGTGGCATGGGTCGGCTGCTGCGAGCAGGCCGAGCTGTGGCTGCTCTCCTTCTTCTTATTTTTCCCCAAAACAGAAAATGTCAAAGAAGAAAAAGGGGAAGAAAGGAAGGAAGAGATAGAATTTGGGCATGGGGATTATTTTCCTGGGCTCGCAAAAATGAGTTTCACCCAAGAAAATAGAAGTGAGCGTGGGCGTGAAGTTGAATTCAAACCCATTTGAATTTAATTCAAATGGGTTTGAACTAGGACTAGGTTTTGAAGTGTCCAAAAATGTTAAGGATTTTTGGAGGAACCACGATAAGAGAGATAAAGAATTGTTGGCAAGGTTAGAAAGCCAAAACTTGAAGAAGTAAAGGCCAAGGGATTTAACATGCAAGTGTGTTGTGGTAAATTCTAAAACAATGGAATATTGATAGTAGCTCCCTATATATTGGGAGGAATATGTTATAAAGAGAACTCACCATGTGAATTCCCTCGATTTAAATGGATCGAAGATCCACACGATTTATTTATGTGAGTTCAGTTAGTTTGCCAAAATGATGGCATGATGACATGCTGCAATGCAAATGATACTATGAAGAATGCAACAGACAAAACAAATCACACAACGAAACTCGGAATACATGAGGCGTTACACTATCTCCTTCTGCTCGGACGAAAGGTTGTCCAAAATGGCTTTGGAGCTCGGGGAGGCCATGGCAGACATGGTGTGGAGAGGGGAAAGGGAGCGGAGGGGGATGGATGCGGCTCTGGCCGGGGCTAGAGTTTAAATGGCCGAAGGATGGCCGGGCAAGTGGCGGGGTGGTAATGGTGGGCCACAGACGGACAAACGGGTGGTGACGGAGTAGGTTCATCGGTAGCCGTGCATGTTTAATGAAGGAAGGCGGAACAACATGCTGTCGTTTGAACGCGGAGTAGTCGCGTGCACTTGGAAACAATGGGGGTGCCGATGCTCTCGGCCGATGTACCACTTCAATGCCGAATAGCTAGTGAGAGATCATGTCGCTCTGAGCTGGCATGAATGCGACGCTAGTGCTCTAGAGCAGCGTTACTGCTTCGGGCGAGAAGGAGCGCAAGCGCGCGAGAGGGCTTTTTGGTGGCCAGGGCAATCAGAAGCGGGCGTGGCAGTGGTCTGGATGCCTGCAAAGCCCCCCAATTTGTTTCTGCTTTGCAAGGAAAAGCACGTCTGGATCGGCCTGCGGACCGAAACAGAACCGCATTGAATAGCAAAACACATTCATGCTGCATAGTTTGGATCGTTGCCGACGATTTGAGGGTCTACGATTGAAGATGCCCTTATTCTAGATAAGAATGCCTTCGACTTAGGCGTCACAAATGTATAATTGCCATAGGCTAGGGTGTTACACTATGTGCTATATTAGACTAGAGTTTCTCTAATGTTTAATACTCTCATGAGTTTTGGGTGGACAGGTGTAGACGTTTATACATATGCACGTACACTTTACTTCTATGAACGCTTTTATATGTGTCCGCAGGGGGCGGGAGAGGAACCACATTGTATGGCTCCACTACGAGCAGGCATGGGTGGATTTCACAGCGAAGAGGGAGCACACCAGATAGAGCCAATGCCAATATGGTGAGATTTTAGGAGACGAATTGCGCCACGGTCGTCGAGGTCAAGGACGTGCATATGTATGTGCATATGGCAACCAATATGACAGACTCTTCTATAGTTGCTCTCGTACTATTATTTGGCAGGAGGAGCACCCCTGATTATCTTGTAAATCTTCTAGCAAAAGTTGTAATGTTGTTTGATGAGCAATAAAGTCCCTAAAAAAAGTGGGAGCGACACTGACGTCGCAAGGATTTATTCCTGTATAAAATACTTTATGCAACTCTTGAAAAACAGTTTTATATATATCATAAATTGTCATAATATTGCATATTGTTATCGTTATCCGTTAAAATTGTCCATATAGTTGAAAAAAAATATTCCTGGCTGTGAAAATAAAATATTTTTTATCTGTTTAAAAATAAAATATTAATCTGTTTGATAATTAAATATTCATGGCTTTTTGCATAAATGTTTTGGTATATTACAAAAATCAAATAATGACAAAGAAAAATAGAAGGAACAAGAAGCACCAAAATAAAAAGAAAATATATTTAACAAACAATACAATAAAAAATGGATAAATAGAAAAGAAGAATAAGTTTTTTTTGAGAATGAAAAAAGAAGAATAAGTAAGAAAAGAAGAAGAAAAAGGACAACCCGCAGCTAGTGGCCTGACTGTGTTGCCTTGGGCTAGTAATCTGGCAAAAGCCCGATAACCCGTAGCTTAGCATGTAGCAGCCACAAGTGAGCAGAATAAGTTTTTTGTCACTTCATTTCTGATGCTGCAAATTTTCATATGTCAAAGGAGAACCTACCAGTGTCAAGAAAAGAAAGAGGAGAACCTTCCATAAAACGAACCCCATCATCAATATATTGCGCTCTTTAAATTTGATCATATTTGCTTTTTTCTATTTTAGTTTGTATATCTATATCTTTGTTACATAATTATGCACTAGCCTGCAGTATCTCATTTTGTGGCATTGACAGTTTAACACAAATTCAATTAATGATTTTGACAATAACAGTTAGACGTGTTATGTTGGACACCAGCCTATCTTCTGATTGTGGATATGATAGTTCCAATTATTTCGAATACTATAACAAACACTGTGCACTTGGAGATGCCAACTGCATTTCTTCATATGCGTCACAGGAGCTCAGCTCCTCCTAATTTTTCTTAAACGATGACATTTTCAGTGTTAGGGCATCCTCTGCAACTGTAATACAGGATCAGTTTAGTTCTTACTAATAAAGTGTTCCTTTCTGTGTCTCCGATGAAACAAATCAATATTTGCACACCCATAGGTCACAACAATATGGGACATTGTTTGATAAAAACAACATTGTTGGAACATAAAAGGTTTAAGGAAATTAAAAGCAAACTGCAACTTGAAGTTGAAAGGCTCCTCTTATTTCTCAAAATGGCAGGAGGGAGGAAGGGGTCTTAAATTGGCTTAGTGACCTCATGAATAGCGTTAGCCAAATATGCGACATTTCCTGTTGTTACACCAGCCATGCTGAAGAGGAAACACCAATAAAATTAGGCACAAGTAACCAATGAAATGCAGAGAGATGTATTCAGAAATAAGGATAACAAACTTTCTGTTAAGCAATTACAAGTACCTTATCCTGCCATTACGAGTCATGTATATGTGAAATTCATTTGTTAAGCGATCAACTTGTTCAGGTGTCATCCCGCTGTAGCAAAACATGCCAATCTGTAGCAAAACAACCGCCGATGGAATGGCATCGCAAAACTCTCAGCAACTCATGTATGAAAGTAAATAAGGCCACTTACAAAGCATAACGTAAAATTTAGCAAAATTATTGTTAAAACCGCTGTTTGAACCCAAGAAATATGCAGCATCAAAACATCTTAGAAGGTTCAAAGTGAGTGATGTTCCCACAATAAAACAGAAACCCAATTTCAGTAAAAAAAAAATCCTCCTTCCCCAAGGTTATACGTCTGAGGGGAGCCACTAAAGACAGGGCCTCCAGATACCAGTTTTTATGGGAACTAATTACCTTTTATGAACCAAGAACTAGCATTCCATTCTAAGAAACTTCCTTCTGATTTTTAATTTTTTGAAACGGAGGCAAAAGATTTGCCACATTCCATTGATCAATTTGAGGGAGAGTTTAGGTACAGAGACCAAAGCAAAAAAAATAAAGTGCACTCTCCCCGCATGATCCTACCCAAATGCTTTGCACTGGTGCACACCCAAATTGCGGCCACACCCTTTTATGTTGGCCAAGATGTTGTACAGTATACTACCAGTTACATGTGGGCAGTGAGTTGCCACAGCCCAAATTATGGTAAAAAAGATCTTGATGGACAATTACCTGATTAGTAATATGTTCCCATGATAATGGTGAACCCAACTTTTCAAGGCTCTCCTTAAGTGCTTTTCGCATTCCAATAATGCGATCAGCCATACCCTGAGACAATAAACAAATGTTAAAATAATGTTCACAATCAAACCCATCAGTTTTCATGATTATCAAATGACTCAGGAATTTTGTTTACTTCAATGGTAGTCAGGCATAGGAAGAAGGACGTTGTAGTTTTACCTTGACCTCTTTCAGCCATAAGCTTTTCAGTGCTGGATCACCAAGGATAGTGGAAACAATTAGTGCGCCGTGAAGGGGTGGGTTGCTGTACATAGGTCTGGCAATCTGTTGTAACTGGCTCTTCACATCAACTGCTTGTATTTCATCGTCGCAGAGAATACTGCAAAAAATGTTAAAATATAGGAGATCAGGCGACGGCCTAGGCAACAGATAAAGATTTGTAGCTTATAGTCTTAGTGTCCACAAACTTTGTTTCTCTCAAAAAAAAAATTGGTTTCATTGAGTAGACACCAGATAAAGATTTGTAGCTTATAGTCTTAGTGTCCACAAACTTTGTTTCTCTGATTTTTTTTTTTTTTTGGTTTCATTGAGTAGAGCAGAAAATGTTCAGAATAACTTAAATGGATGCCTAGACAAATAACAGAAAAAAAATGCAGATTTTCAAGGATAACCTTACTCTTCAAGAGCATGTAATGCTTAAGTCTACTTAAAGTAAGCACTTGCAGGCTGTACACGGTGCTCACAAAATAAACATACTGACATCCTCAATTCAGTAGAAATTACAGGGAAGCAACTTGACATAGAACACAAATACTAACAAGTAGCTCCAGAAAATAGAAGGAGAAATAAGAAAAGGTAGGCAGTACAAAGACATTGATACTTATTACTTGAGTGAGAATTGATATGGAAGATGCATGGATGATAGATTAACATAGGAAAAATGAGTACCTAAGGCATCCTGCTCTTTGGCCATAAAGTCCCATGTTTTTTGCATATGACTGTGCACATCCAATTTGATGTCCATCTTCGAGAAAGATCCGAATTGCCTTGGCATCTCTCTCTGGGTCACCACTGGCAAATCCTTGGTATGCCATGTCGAAAAATGGGAAATGGTTCTTCACCTGAAAAATACCAAACAAAAGTACAGCTGCATTTCACTGGTAAAATAATACAAGGAGTGGCCATTCTCCAATTTGTTGTCATCTGTACCTTGAATTGTTGAGATATCTCTCTCCACTGTTCCTCAGAAGGATCGACCCCAGTGGGATTGTGAGCACATGCATGAAGCAAAAAGAAGGAACCCTCTGGAGCGTTCTGCAGGTGTAGGAAACACAACTCTGAATCAGTGACAGATAAGCAGTCAACAAGACAGAAATCCCCACAGAAAATGGGAGGTTTTCTGTGCCAAATCACAGAAACCTACAATCACTTGTAAAAATGTTCATCACCTATGAAATATACCTTGATATCATCCATTAGGCCTGCAAAGTCCAGTCCTCTTGATTCCGGGTGGTAGTAGGCAAATGTTCTTTGTGGTACCTGGGCATCCCTCCAAATGTTGTGATGGCTGAACAAGTTCATACAGTTAGCTACTATCAGAGGGTGCCAACCTGACGATGCTCGAAGAACATTTGAAATTTGGTCTCTAAATTGTTTTCGGTAACTTAGTGAAAAGGTGAAAGTAGAATGTATCCTAACTCACTTTGACCATGTAGGCGTAGGTATGTAGATCTGTGAATCCGGCAAGAAGCGTTTCTGGAAATCTGCAAAGAGGCGACATGCACCAGTCCCTGAAAGAGCCTGCACTGCCGCAATCCTCTTGTCCTTGATGAACTCAGAATCCTCCCCGTATGCCAGCTTCAGCGACTCCTCGATCATCTTCACGCTTCCTCCCATTGGAAGGTACTCCCTGTTTTACAAATTCCGCCAGGAAAATAAATTGAGAACTCATGATATTCGTTCATGTACTAAAATTGCATTACATTAGTATTGAACTCCATTTTTTATTTTTTATTTTTGCATTCTTGTAAATTTAGAATATCGTGCTTTTTTTGAATGATTTGAAGATTGCTCACCATGCCTGATATCGTGCTATTTTTAACTGCACAGCCAGGATTTAATAATCCTTTTTACAATTCCTCAAAAAAAAATCACTTTTTACACGAAACCCCTCTAAAAAAACCGTTGACTCTCAAGGTGCACAAAAGTTAGACTGAAACTTCCAAATGATGTATTAGACTCGGCTGGAAGTGCGCCATGATCCCGTCAATAATTTCTTGATAGCGAAATCCGCAAATGCGCATGCTTATCGTCGAAGAAAAATTCAGAGAGTAGAATTGGCACATGATCTATCACAAGACTGCAGGGCAATGCAGGCAACATGCAAAAAGCTAAGCTTTCGTCCACGTCAATTCATCATCACCAATTGATTGCTCACTCCTCGGGACCAAGAAAACTGCACCCACAACCGCATTAAATGGAAAGGAAGGGCCAAGAGAGAGCAGAGGAAAGGCGGGCGGACAGCGAGATCTCACATGTTGGTGCTCCCGGCGATGCGCCGCTCCGCCTCGCGCACGCACTCGAGCACCACGGGCTTCCCGTCGTCGTCCCGGTACGCACCCTGCGGCGCGACAGGAGAAAGAAGCCGTCAGCCCCTACGATCGGCGCCCGTTTTGATCGCGGCGCCGCGAGAAACACCGCTGTGGCAGGGCATGCGGGTGAAGAGGAGGGAGGGAGAGATACGTACGACGCCGACGTTCACTTTGTCCGGCGAGGGGTCGGCGAGGAAGGCCTCGGTGACGCCGAGGATGGGGTCCTTGGCGGCCGGCTCCACGTGGCCGAACCACGACGCCATGGACCTCGCCGCGGGCAGGCGCGGCCCGCACCGGCGCCGCCCGACCGCTGCCGCGGCGCGAGACATCGCCATGCCGTCGCTGCGTGCGGTGGCGAGTTTGCCGCTGCTGGGGAGGAGATGGCAGGTGACTTGGGTCCTGAGGAAGCGGCGCGGCACCGGTGCTTTGCTGCGGCTGGCGTGTTGCGTGCCGCTATGTTGTTCTGTACTGGGGCCTTGTGCTCTTCCGGAGTTTGCTGTGCCAGTACTTCAATGATATCATGCGCGGCCGCACGTGCCACGTGGAACATGGTTGTAAGTGTGGCGGTTGTTCCGTTGGATGGAACTCTCGCGAATACGAGTCTACACAAAATTCAGCAATGGCACAATTAGGGCAACTCCAACGCACAACACCAAAAGAATGTCCGTTTCGTTTCCTTATTATCTGTTTGGGGTGGCAATGGATCGTGTCCGCCTGAATTTGTGGATATGCTGGGCGCACGGCCGTATCTGGTCCGATGTGCATGCAAACGAAAAGACAATGGCAGCGGCCATAGTTCACGCCAGCGGCCGCGTTCACGCTAGATCATGCCATTCGGCAATAAAGCCAACGTCCTACAGAATGGTCATCATAAGTTTGGTGCTGTCAACAAAGTCAGTGACCGGCACACGAGTCAGCCTTCAAAATGGACAAGTTTTGGCGTCGGCAACAAAGCCAGCGGTCGGCACAACAGTCAGCCTTCAAAATGGACAAGTTTTGTTGCTGGCAACAAAGCCAGTCGCCGGCACACTAACCAGCCTTCAAAATGGACCGCCATCGCGGTCGAGGTCTCACCTAGTTCAAGTCGTCGCGGGCGAACATCTCCTTCTGACAGTTCGCGAACCAAGTCTTCCTCTCCGGTGACATGTTGTTCTTGTCGACGCTCATCAACGCGAGCGCCACCTCCTTGGCCTTTGTGTCGGCATTGGTGGCCTCGATCTCTAACTTCTCGAGTTGAGTGGCCTCCTCGATGTCAAGCTTCCTCCTCTTCACGGCCTCCTCCATGTCAAGCTTCTTCGTTTGGAGATCTAGATATATCTTCATTTGCTTCTCATTGCCTTTGGTCTTCCTCTCCTCCCCCGCATCCTTTTCTCTCACCATTTCCTCCAAAGTTCCTTGCAAGGCAATGGACGACGCATCACGCTTCTCATCGAACTTCGAGTTTTTCTGCCCCTTGGCCTCTTGAGCAAGTCTACCTCATCAGCCACGGCCGCCTTCCCTCATTTCTTCATCTAAAGAGCATTGTATTGGTCTTTGAACTTCGGGCAATTTTTGATGAGCATCCAACAATGCGTGAGAGTGAATGGCTTGTCTTTATGTCGGGCCTTGAAGGCTTCCAAAGATTGGAATGCCTACACAATCAAACATGCGGCCACAATTGTAACATGAAAGGACATACAGTGCATGAAACTTAAATGGCATGCCAACATGAATGGACACATGATGAAAAAGCGAGAGGTTCATACCAAGTCACCAAGGCCTAGGCCACTCACGGGACGGGATTTGACGCTCTCAAGCGCGACACAATATTTGTTGCACTCTTGTTGGATGAATCCCCATCTCTTTTGGATTGAATTGATGCCGCGGGTGCTTGTGAATTGGTAGGGGGCAAACTTTCTTCGCTCATGAAAGTTCTTGTGAACTCTTGTCCAAAAGACAACTCCTTTTTGCTCAACACCTTTCATTGGATCTTGGCCGATTTCCTTCCAACTATCGCAAATCAAAGTGTCCTCGGCTTGGGTGTATGATCCCGTGCGAATGCTTTTCCTCATCTTTTGTGCTTCGGCCTTTCGGGTGAGCTCATTGATAAACAACAATGGCTCCATGAAAATGTTGACCGCTTCTTCTTCATCTTGACAATACAAGTCATAATCTTCATGCCACGAGTTGCCATGGTCGTCCTCATCACCATCATCATCGCCGGCCAACTGAGTGCCATCATAGGTAGCGCGGGTGTCCTGGCTTTGGTTCGTATCGGGATCAAAAGCTTGCTCTTGGCCGTCGACGTGGAACGCCTCACCACGGCCCTCGAAGATGACGTTCTACATGAACGAGGCATAGTCAGGGTCGTCCATGATCGTTGTCTGCGTCGGCGATGGCATTTCGTCGAATAGCTTGCGGGCGCTGGCCATGTGAGCCGAAGCGAACGATCGAGGCTGCTTCCTTTGCGCTCCGTCTTTGTAAGGGCATTTTTATCCCTTAGTTGGTTTTGGTGATTGATGACAATACTTTTGCGGACTAATCATGTGCATCGAATATTTCAGATATATATTGACTAGGCACAAGATGATTTGGTTCCCCTCGAAGGCTATGGAAGACGACGTTTCTCTATGTTTCTTTTCGGTGGTATTGAGTCATAGGGAAGCCGTTATTAAGAGAGGGTCTGCGTCGGAAAGGTTGGGTGGATTCATCACGTACACATCTTCCTTTGTACCTCCTTTTCTTCTACCCTTTGGAGCATCCTATGTTTTCCTTGTCTATGCGAATATTGCTCGTGCTTGCTGAACTAGGGCGTGCGGTAGTACTGCTCCTTAGAGCGGTAGTACCGCAGCCCTTGCGGTAGTACCGTCCGCCGGTGCAGTAGTACCGCAAGCGCCCACGGTAGTACCGCTTCCTGGCAAGCGGTAGTACTGTGGCCGGAGTCCAGATGTTTTCAACCTCTCCCTAGTGGGTGGCACCCATCACGGTAGTACCGCGCACTGGGCACGGTAGTACCTTGGTATCTGGCTTAGTTCCGCAAGTATGCAGCAGTAAGGGGCGGATGAAATTTTTTTCATCCGCGCCTAGCGCGGTAGTACCGCTGCTGGCTTACGGTACTACCGCATCGGGTTTTTGCATTGACTCCAACTCTGCGGAAGTAACCACGGATGTAATTTATTATATCCGTGCCTTCCCATCTGTGGACAGCCCCTGCCTTGCGGTAGTATCGCAAGGGGGCGCGCACGGTAGTACCGTGCCAGCAGTACTGCCGCCCTCTGCCTTAGTGCATTTTGGGTTGTTCTGGTCTCTGCTGCATGGGCGGTAGTACCGCGCCTCTGGTACGGTAGTACCATGTTGCGCAGGCTGAGTTGGTGGATAACGGTTGGATTTCTTCTTCCACTATATAAGGGGTGTCTTCTTCCTCTAGTTGACTACCTCTTCCCCAAAAGCTCCATTAATGCTCTAAGCTCCATTTTTGCCCCATCTCTCTCCCTAGCCAATCAAACTTGTTGATTTGCTCGGGATTGGTTGAGAAGGCCCCGATCTACACTTCCACCAAGAGAAATTTGATTCCCCCACCAATCCCTAGCGGATCTTGTTACTCTTGGATGTTTGAGCACCCTAGACGGTTGAGGTCACCACGGAGCCATAGTCCATTGTGGTGAAGCTTCGTGGTGTTGTTGGGAGCCTCCGATTAAGTTGTGGAGATAGCCCCAACCTTGTTTGTAAAGGTCCGGTCGCTGCCTCCAAGGGCACCAATAGTGGAATCACGCAATCTCGCATTGTGTGAGGGCGTGAGGAGAATACGGTGGCCCTAGTGTCTTCTTGGGGAGCATTGTGCCTCCATACCGCTCCAACAGAGATGTACTTCCCCTCAAAAGGAAGGAACTTCGGTAACACATCCTCGTCTTCACCGGGTCCACTCTTGGTTATCTCTTACCTTTACTTGTGCAAGCTTATTAGTGTTACTTCTCTTGCTTGCTTGTGTGCTCGTTGTTGTTGCATCATATAGGTTGCTCACCTAGTTGCACATCTAGACAACCTACTTTGATGCAAAGTTTAATTTGGTAAAGAAAATCTAAAAATTGTTAGTTGCCTATTCATCCGCCTCTAGTCAACCATATCGATCCTTTCAATTAGTATCAGAGCCTCATCTCTTTATAAGGACTTTGTCATCCGAAGAGTATGGTTGACATCGTAGACTGTGTGTAGGAGCACTCCGGTGTGAATCCGATCTCGTCTACGGGTGATGTGGGAACCTCGGTCTCCCGTGAGGAATTCAATGTAGCCTTGGAGACATTGAAAACCTCAATGACGACCGAGGCTGAAAGCATGTTTACTAAATTCATTGAAGGGCTTAAACTATCCACCGCACCATTGAAAGTGGGTGATCCCACTGACAAGGTGACAGATGCTAACTCCGACAGGGGGGAAGCTAGTAGTGAAAAGGCTCCTTCTTCTAGTGGTAAAAATGGCACCGACATCTTTGCCCATGTGGAACCACCACTTGTTTATGGTGGACCAATTCCTTCCACTCATTTGAATCATGCCGGTCCTCCCCCTAAGATTGTGAAAAATGAGGACTTTGATTCTTGGGTTTATCGCTTTAAGCATCATTTAAATCATGTGAATACTAATCTTTGGAGAATCATTGAAGAAGGTTTCTATCCGCATGACCCAAGCAACTTCACTCCTCGAGAAGCCGCGGATAATCAATTCAATGAGAATGATCTCTTCATCATCCAAGATGCAATTCCGCCCGAAGATCTACCTCATCTTCGGCCATTTGCCTTGGCCAAAGATGCATGGCTTTGTGTTTCTCTCTCTACCGAGGAAGCGCAAGCATTCAACGCTCCAACTATGAAATAGTGCAAGATGAAGCCGATGAGTTTGCTATGAAAGAAGATGAAGAACCTCGTGAGCTTTATCGGAGAGTAACCAAACTCGCGGTCTCACTCCGAGATCATGGGAGCAAGGACACGGATGACAATTGGATCAAGAGCAAATTCCTCAAGGAAATGATGCCTTACCACAAGGCCATGTCCTTCGTCGTTCGTCAAAGGCCCAACTTCCACACCTTTACCTCAAGTGAAGTGTTGGATGAGTTTGTGGCTATGAACATCTTGGACAAGACCGCCGACAATGTGGTGCTTCGCTCTCAAAGGGCAAAGAAGCCCAACCTTGCATTGAAGGCCAAGGTTTGTGTTGAAGAAGAAGAAGAAGAAGAGGAAGAAGAGGAAAGCAACCCCGAAGATACAAAGTATGCCTATCATGAACACATGGCACTTGCTTCAAGGCAATTTTGGAGCAAGAAGAACTCAAGGCCTAACTTCAACAAGAACAACTCAAGTGGCAC